AGCATTAGATCTTCATTACATTACGGTCCTATGAATAAAAGATGAAAATGAGGACATGTTTTGTGATAATGAGTGGCACGATCTTGCATGTGGCGGCATGCGACTGAGAACGGCTTTCTGTATACTGAAGTAGACAGAAAGACTCTCTCTCTCTTTTTACAGAAACATAAAAAAATTCAAACAACCCTCTTCTTCTTCTTCAACATCTAAAGTGAATTGTATTGTGAGGCTAATAGAATTAAGATGTTTCTGGAAATCAATTAACGTGTCATTGTCATGTCACTATACCAGAAATGTATCATCCACTTATCTTACCCACACCTCGGGTTTCTTCGCCGACGTTTCTAGCGTTCGAGTTTCAACATGAAACATGAACTTTTTGCTAAAAGTGATAATTATTACCCAATAGACAAACCTTTATTCTATCTGTAAGTTCCATTATCCGTCTTAAAATAACTTAGTTATACACAGCTTTGTTAAATTTACAATGTCATATATTTCTAGACGTGAAAAACGAATTTACTAGCTAGTAACCTATTTATTTTTGAATTTCGCGCAAAGCTACACGAGGGCGAGATACGCTAGCCGTCCCTAATTTAGCAGCGTAAGACTAGAGGGAAGGCAGCTAGTCATCACCACCCACCGCCAACCCTTGGGCTACTCTTTACCAACAAATAATGGGATTGATCGTCACATCATAACGCCCCCACGGCTGAAAGGGCGAGCATGATTGGTGTGACGGGGATTCGAACTCGCGACCCTCACATTGCAAATCGAGCGCCCTAACCTAACCGCCATGCCAGTAACCTATTTTTGAAACAACATGGTACTTCTTCTATTGGTACACTTGTGAACAAAGATACTACATCAAACTAAATTAGTCCATCATTTTTTCAATGTTAATATTCTTAACAATATCAATAAATTCAGGCAAATTCTTATCTGTAAATGTGTAGGAATTTGTTAAAAAAAGAACATTTTTATCAATATACTTATCCTCTATTATCAACAACAAGCTGAGTGCCCGTCATATGACGAGAAATAATGATTAATTTTTCTTCTGAAAATTATACCCAAATTAATGTCTTATGAACATGTTTTATCAAAATTAATTATAATGAAGTAACAATATATGTATGGAGAATAACTGTCCTATTTCTAGTATTTCACGAAAACAACATTTTTAATGTATATTTGTTCATCTCCTTTAAGTATTGCTTGATTAAAATTTTGACTTCTGTATGTTTTTAAGTTATGTTCACATGTTCTTAATAAATCCTTATAAATTGAAACATGCAAAAAACTGATTCTCAAAGACACGTTACTGCTTGATAAACTGTATGACCCAGCAAATTAATAATTGTGATTATAAAGGCAGTGAATTTTATTATGAATTTCGTGGTCTTCTCTTTGGACTGTCTTCGTGATTTTGGCTTTGTTAACATGTTGAGCTGAAGAAGTGCACTTTAATTTCGGTATTTTCAAAATTGAAATATGCTGCGGACAGAATATGCGGGATATTATAGAGTTGTATCCGAGGGTTCGATTGGATAAAAGTTGGTGGTGTTGCGTCTATGTGTCTCCTTGACAACCAAGCAACGTGTGATAAAAATGTTTGCATTTTTTTTTACAGCAGGTTTATCTTTATCCAGTATGTTTTGTGATGTATTTTATTTTAGTTTCTTGTATGTCTCATCTGTAAATAGATTGTATTCTGAGCGAATGCAATACAGCCAGAATGTACGCCTTACCAAAGTACATAAGCCTAATGTACCATATAGACTCATTGTAAGTAGTTTAAAAACTGCTACACACTCTTTAGCTAAGTTATTGGTTAAAAAATTGTCTCATTCAAATATTAATAAGTGTAAACATAATGTTAAAAATTCTGTGATGAAATTTGCGAATAAACTTAAAGACGTTGAAATACACCATAATGACTTACTTGTATCACTATATGTTTTTTGTCCGTAAATATTCCAGTAGATAAAGTGTTAGATAATCTGTTCAACAGATTACTTGATATTGAAAACTTACCATTAGAATATATCAAAAAATTAATTAATCTTACCAAACTTTCTGTGGATAATTGCGTCTTTAATATTAATGATAAATTTCATTAACAAGTTAAAAGTCTAGCAATGAGGTCCCCCTTATCTCTTGTTTTGAGTGACATATTTATGGATGCTTTCCAAGTCCCAAAAAGCTGTAATAAAACCTGTTGGATATAAAAGATATGTAGACAACACAAACATGGTGTGGCGATACAACAGTGAAACTCTTAAGAAATTCTTAAACTACATGAATGATAATGAAGAAATTATTAGGTCGTCGAGAAATTAATGTCGCGTTTTGAAACACTTTCATTAACCACCCCCCTAAAACGTACATCACCTGTAATAAGTTAATGGAACCGCCTAAACGTCATGTTAGTGTAGCCTTTATAATATGTAAAGTTTAGTATATTCTAATCCCTAATAGTGATAGCGGACGACGAGACACACATTTGCCATTTAATGCTGTTTGAATACAAGACGGGAAACATCGCCTCTGTAGCCACAAAGAATATCAAATTAGTTTATGGAAATGTTTTGAACGTTCGTAAGTATCAACGATGGTTCAGTAAATTTCGTTCACGTGACTTTAGCCTTAAAAACTGTGATGGCAGGGGCCGACATGTTGGAATTGATATCGATACTGTGAAGACGCTTGTTGAGTCTAACCCAAGGTAACATACTCGTGAAATGGCCCTGAAATTGCATTTCTCTCATGAAAACATACGTAAACATCTAAGGAATATGGAACAACTTCTTAAAAGTATTTGGGTGTGTGTGAACGTTGCTTCTGGCCCGTAATGCGCGTGAACCACCTTTGGACAGAATTGTCACCGGTGATGAAAAATGGCGAATATTAAACGCCAAAAACAATGGCTCAGTCCTAGACAAAAACCTTCCGCAGGAAGTGATGCTTTGCATTTGGTGGGACATCAAAGGAGTAATTTATTTCGAACTCCTCAATCCACAGCGAACTGTCTATGCAGAGAACTATAGTCAGCAACTGGAACGTTTAAATGGTTGCCTTGGGTTAGACTC